GCCATTTTAACAAGACCTTTGACAAATCTAACCAAAAAGTCAGTAAGTTGGAAATGGGGTAATAAAGAAGAGAATGCATTTACAAAACTCAAAGAAATCTTAGTTAGTCAACCTGTCTTAAATTTATTTGATCCGGATGCAAAAACCGAAGTCCACACAGATGCTAGTCAGTTAGCTTTAACAGGTATCGTATTACAACGAAATAATCGAGACGATAGACTGCACCCAGTCGCTTACTACAGCAGACAAACTTCTGAAGGGGAACAAAGGTACCATTCGTATGAGCTCGAAACTTTGGCTGTACTGGAAAGCTTGCGAAAATTTAGAAGCTATATTTTAGATATTTCGTTTACTGTGATAACCGACTGTAATTCATTAAAGGCTACAAGTAACAAGAAACAGTTAATACCTAGAATCGCAAGATGGTGGTTAGAACTACAAGAATATAATTTTGAAGTCCAATATAGACCCGGAAATAGAATGAATCACGTGGACGCATTAAGTCGAAATCCCAATGTATCAACACCAATTGAATATGAAGTTAGTTTCCGAATAGAAAAAGCAGATTGGATTTTATCTGGACAATTGACAGACGATAAAATCAAAGAAATACATCAAATATTAACTAAACCGCCAGTATTAGAATACGGAAAGCACATTTACAAAAATTACTGTTTACGAGATAAACGACTATATTGGATAACTGCACGAGGTATATTATGGGTAGTTCCACAAGGAATGAGACAAAGAGTAGTAAAGGCAGCTCACGACGATTTCGGACATTTCGGTGTGGAAATAACATTTCATCGTTTATGTGAGAACTATTGGTTCCCAAGAATGCGCAAATATGTTGAAAAATATATTTCTTGTTGCATTCTATGTTTATATAACAAGCGTAATTCTGGAAAGAAGGAAGGATTTTTACATCCTATTCCAAAAGGCACCCAACCTCTCTCTACTTTTCATGTCATGTTGACCACCTAGGACCGTTTCCAAAATCCAAGAAAAATAACATCCATCTGATAGTTGGCATTGATTACAAAATTTATTTTTCTACGAGCAGTTAAATCTACTAAAACAAAATATATCACAGAATATTTTAAAGATATTTTTGCAACTTATGGAACACCGAAAAACTTAATATCAAATCAAGGTAGTTGTTTTACGTCGAAACATTTCAAGTCATTTTGCAAATAAAACAATATTCGACACATTGTTAATGCAGTAGCAACACCTAGAGCAAATGGACAGGTAGAACGGTCGAACCGGACAATACTATCATCACTATTACCATCAATTCCTGAGGAAGATTTATGGGATCAATACTTAAGATCTGTAGAATTTGCAATTAACAATGTACCTAATAAGTCTACAAGCAAAACACCTAGTCAGCTAATGTTTGATTATATATCACGCGCGCGGTGGAGATGATTCTCTACTTAAAGACGAAATATAGCAGATTCCAGAACTAATTGATGACCTCATTAATATCCGAAAGGAAGCTTCCGAGAAGATAATTGCGAGCCAGTTAAGACAAAAAGCCAATTTTGACATGAGACGCAAGAAGGCTAAAATATACAATGAAGGTGATCTAGTAGTCATCTTGAAGCAAACACCAGCAACTGGGACAAGTCGTAAGCTAGCACCAAATTACTCAGGTCCAATGGTTATAAAGAAAGTATTGCCAAATGACCGTTAAATTTGTCAAAGATATCGCAGGGTCGCATCGTACGTTAAGTTCTTTTAAATATGAAAAGACGATTGCAGTAGACAGCATCAGAGCTTGGTGTCCACCTAGAGGAGTTTCTGATGACACTGGAAGCGAAAGCGAGGGAGATGGAGTTTTTATTTCTTCCGAAGAAGAGGAGGCAACCCTAGAATAGGATATGTATCTCGGGATGAGATATTTGCAAGATGGCCGACTGTAAGAATGATTTTATTTTCTATACAAATTTATTCGGTTTTTAAACGCACGAAATATTTGTCTCCCAAAACAGTCCCAGACTATGATTACGTTAACACTATTAAGATACGGAGATATCGAATTACGAATATTGGAACTAAGGGTAAAAATATCAACCAGACATAAAATACAGATCATTTTGAGTTAGTTGCTTTACGGAACAAAATTAAAGTTCGTTTCAATAATAATAATAATAATAATAATAAAAAAACTAGTGAATAGTTATAATTTTTGTGAGTGGCTGTTGCTGAATCGGGTGAGATTTTCTCACTGAGTAATTATGTTTTATCAATTAGTTTTGTTTTAATTTGTGATCAAGTTATTTTGCAAATTATATACACCCAATTATTATCCATCAACCTTTTATCGTCCTATATATTTTTGCTAGAATTATTTTATTTTTATTAATTTTTAATGTATTATAATTGTTGTAGTGTTTGGAAACTTTTATTACAAAAGGTTTTATACATATATTTCTTTTATTCTTCTAATGACTTAATTTTACGCTCTCAAACAAGAATCTAACAAATAAAATTTGGTTTAAATTGACATCCTCGAAATAACTTATGTTCAAATTTCATTTATTTAAAAGGAAAATTTACTTTACAAACTGAAAGACCTGCGGGGCAACGGCAGTTTAGTAGGTAAAAATTACAACTTAAGGGTAGAGCCTAAATACTACAAAATTACTTCCGATACTAAACAAAATCAGCATTCATTCAAAATTTTAAGAATTGTATGTAGATACATATTCTAAACTCTAACGCGCAAAATTGAGACAAAGCAACCGAAAAATATTCTACAATAGCACAAAATAAGACATATTTTACAATAATTGACTGTCTGAGAGTAGAAAAGCGTCCATATTTCAATAACAAATACAGGAGCCAATGTAAATAGACAATAAACGCTCTCTTTAAAAAATATTTTCTATACGTGTTGTTTTTTATATTCAAGCGGATTTATAATACTGCCCGCCAATGGTGAAAAGCTGTATGTGAGTTTTAGCTATTTTGAGTATAACGTGTTTGAATTTTATAATGCGACATTATCAATATTTAATATTCGTTTGATTTAAAATTTTTACAGGCTTTTCAAAACATTATGCTGTGTTTATTATTCCTATTTTGACATCTTGTGTGCACAGTTCATGCTTTATAATGTCGCTTAATTGTTTTTACCATTTTTGTTTGATTAGTTTATTACAGGAAAAAAACAAAATAAAACCTTATGAAACTATACATTAATTTTCCTTTGTATTAAACTAAAAGTGTTACAATCCTTCCAAAGCCTTTTGTATATATGTAACTTTTACGTGTTTAAACCAATGCATATCTATCAATCTCTTTAATATTTAAAAAATAAACATACATTTAATTTTAAGTTAATAATAAACATGTAAATATAATAACAAAAAAATATAATAAAACTAAGAAACAAATATTTATACTAAAACATTGTAAGTTTAAAAATAGAAATTATACTTCTTCCAGATAATCTTCAGAACCATCGTTCACATGTACGAGGATGTATCAGAAAATAACGAGACTGGTGTTATAGTATAACAACAAAACATTTATTTAAAAAAATTCAACAACTATCCTTCGAAGTACTCTCCATTCTGTTGAATACACTTATTCCATCGCTTTATCCACTTATCATAAACTTCTGAGAAACCATTTTTTGATAGTCTGTTTAGTATACCCATCACAGCGTTGTTGAGCTCTAAATCTGACTCAAATCTTCTACCTCTCAATTCTTTTTTGACTTAAGGAAACAAATGGAAGTCACATGGAGCAAGGTCAGGAAAGTAGGGGGGATGAACCATAATTTCAACCCCTAATTCTTCAATTGTTCGTTGACAAATCATTGATCTATGAGCCGGAGCATTGTCGTGATGCAGCGTCCAGCCAAAGTCCTGATAAAGCGGCCTTTTTTTCTTTAATTTTGCCTTTAAGGGTCCTCGAAGTACATTAGAATAGTACTCCCCTGTTACTGTATGTCCTCTAGGTACAATGTGATCGTAAATAACGCCAAATTTATCAAAAAAAATCAGGTGCATCACTTTACCAGCGCTTTTAGCTGTTTTGGCCTTCTGCGGTCTTGGGCTGCCTTTATGCTTCCATTGCATACTTTGAGACTTCAATTCAGGATCGTAATGATAAAACCAACTTTCGTCACATGTAACCACATTATTTAAAAACTGTGGGTTACGTTGCAATTGCCTTTTCCACTGCTGACAAATTGTCACTCGATTCGCTTTTTGTTCATCGGTCAACACTTTTGGAATCCATCTTGCCGCGATCTTCCGGTACTCTAAATCTTCATGAATAATTTTTTGAGTGGTACCGTAAGACAAATTAACATTGTCAGAAATTTCGTTTTATGCCAATCCGGCGATCATTTTGTATCAAGTCGTTAATTTCTGCCATTTTTGTGTCATTTATCGCAGTTTGTGGTCGACCGGGACGAGGTTCATCTTCAACTAATTCACAACCGTCTTTAAACTTGTTATGCCACTCAAACACTCTACATCGTGATAAACTATTATCTAGATATGCACCTTTAATCATTTCAAAAGTTTTAGTTGGTGTTTTACCCAATCGAACACAAAATTTTATCGCGTGTCTTTGCTCCACTTTAATTTTTCGATGGGTACGCAAAACAATGACAATTCAATAATTAATTTGTAACAAATATCAAAAGTTAAATCAAAGCCTACTTGCGGGGTAGTACATTAAATATAAGGCTTTCATGTCTCATTTTTTGGGTTATAAAATGTTACCTCTGAAAGAAGTTATAGCACCAGTCTCGTTATATACTGATATATCCTCGTAAATTAACCCAAAATTGCTTTCTACTGTCGGCCATCTTTGGTACTAATTCTTTTATAATTGGTTCCTTTTTGGATGATTGAATACCACGTGATGTAGTTTTTTTTTTTTTTTTCAGGAAAAGTGACTACCTCAACCTTCCGTTTTAAAATATTGGACGATTTTATATATGGCTGCTGATAACCGTTTTTATAAAAAAAATCATGCAAACCTCTTTCACATTTAACTTCGACTACATCTTTCAGGTATGGAAGAGTATCTCTCCTTTCTTTTGATTTTCTTTGTCTTATTGTAGATTTTAAATCCATGAAGTCTCCAATAGTTAAATTCAAAATTTGGTTTCTTTTTGCTGCTTTTTCACACACTTCAATAAAATCTTGAACGTCACACACGTTTTTCTCTTTTCTCATTTGTTGTTCGATCTTTTTATGGATTCTGTCAGCTGCTCTTTGACGAGATATTTCAAACATATTTCTTTAGTAATAGATAAACCAGAATTAACATAATTTAATATTGTACTATATAAGACCCAATTTTTATTCTGTTCCGTACAATTATCAAGCCACAGAATTATGTTTCTAACATCTCTGTCTTTTCAAGAAAGCCAAAAAAGCAAATGAAACGTCTTCCGTATTTCTAGCAGCTATAGCCTCGTGCCAGATTATCAGTAAGTGTTTATCTTTATAGAGAAATAAAACTTTGTTTGCATAGAATGAGTCTGGATAAAAAGAATGAATCTTTTACGTCGGGCATTCTAGGCAATAGAATTACTTTTTGCATGTCGAAAGTGTAAACTATAGTATCAGGATCCCTATTTTCTTTGTCTTGCTTATAATTTTGTCTGCTATCTTGAACCTATAAAAATATTCAAAAAAGAGGTAAATAAAACAAGAATGGTCCTTAAGATCTCACAAGAGTAATTTAATACGACCGGTTTCGAGGAGATCAGATCATCATCATCAGGTATGGTCTAAAATAGAGAGGTAAAAACGAATGAGCTCATAACTAATAAAGTGGGTTTAAAAATTATGAAAGTTGTCAAATATCAAGAACTCACCCGTAATACTCATCTATTTAAGACTAAGCTTAGAGATTATCACAGGGTCGGTGTGAAAAAACAAGTATGCGAGTATTTTTTTAAGAAATGCATAAAACACAGTAGTTGCAACAAAAAGTTGATGTCAAAACACAAGTATGTCTAAAACTGTTAATTAAAATTATTAAAATATTTCACGAACGGACAGACATTAACACAAAACAAATTTTAAACTTTTTTAAACCCTACAAGAACTAAAATGGGTTCTTAGACAACATGAAGTGTTTATAATTCTGAATGTATAAATTTTTTTTATTTTAGATTAAAGATACTAATTAACGCCCTCTAGATATAAATAGACGAATTAACAATTCTAATATTTAAGAAAAACAGTTTAAAGGTTGCCAAATTTAAATATTTTGACATCGGCTAATAGATGGCGTTGGCGAAATAAATGTTTCTTAATTAATAATATAGGTTTTAAAATGAATTATTTGAATTTGTATGTAATAATAAACAAAATGAAATACATTAATTATTATTGTTACACGTAGAGTCTAGCATTAGCGTCGGAAAATAATTTTTAGATGTACTTAATGTTCAAATTAAGAAGTTGGTAACATATCAACGGAAAAAGAAAGGAAAGTGGTATTAAAAGGAAAGAGAGAAAGAGAACTACGTCCAGTAGTATCATTCGGTGAATTCACCAACTTACCTCACAACTAAATGGCTTAATGATTCACTCAAAGGTTATTATAAAGATCATTTTACACACACATTAAAAAATAGCCTAGTGTTAATAGATAATATCAAGGATACTCATATCAACGAGACCGATATGCTAATTTCATTAGATGTGTCGAGCCTTTTTACTAACATCCCTATTCCAGAAGTCTTGTCTTTGATTAATTCTTTTTTGTCAAATTCTACTTTATCAGATTTAGAACTAATTGAATTCACCAATCTACTTAAAATATGCTTAGATCAAAATTTCTTTGTGTTCAATGGAGAAATTTTTTCACAAAAAACTGGTTTAGCTATTGGTTCCCCTTTGAGTCCCATATTGGCAGACATATTTATGCATAACTTTGAAAAAGACAATATCTTAGATAACAATAATTTTTTCCAATCAATCAAATTTTACTATGGATATGTGGATGATATTTTAATACTATGGACTGGTAACAAAGACTCATTGAATGATTTCTTGTCTCATGTTAACACTCTACATACCAACATTAAGTTTACTTTAGAAACCGAAGTAGATAAATCTATAAACTTTTTAGATTTAAAAATATCCCATAACAATGACTCTAAATTAAGTTTTGATATCTATAGAAAACCCACTCATACAGGAGTAGTAATAGATAATTTGTCTAATCACCCCATCTCGCATAAATTAGCTTCCTTCAATTGTTATTTAGAACGTCTATTACGAGTACCTTTATCCATTGAAAACTACAATAGAGAACTTAACACAATAAAAAACATAGCTCATCTACACAATTATGATCACAGTTTAATCGATAAAATGTTGAGAAAAAAACAAAATAGAATTATTCAAAATACAACATTTATAACTAACCATATACCTGTAGAGGCTAGCATTAGCAAGTATATGTCACTTACCTATATTGGAAATATTTCTTATAAAGTCTCCAATATCCTCAAAAATCACTTCAAAATTTCTTTTAAATCCTGCAACTCAATTAGTAACTTTTTCATCAAGAATAAAGATAAAGTGGACATCATGGATCAACCAGGCATATATGAACTCAGTTGTAAGTCTTGCCCAGCCAAATATGTAGGTAGAACCTTTCGTAATTTTAGGACTAGACTTAAAGAACATTTAAGATGTTTGAATACTGCCACAACCTGCTTCTCACATTTTGCCACCCATCTAGTAGAGTCCAATCACGATTTTGACTCAGGGGATGGCTTTAGGGTACTCCACATTTGCCACAACAAGTTGATATTGAATAATTTATAGAACCTAGAAATATTTAGATTAAGAAAACGTACCAATGCATTATCACTAAACTCACAAGTCTTTTCCGAATCCACACCCACGTTTTCAGTTCTTTTTTAAAATCTACGTTTTCCCTTAAATTACCCCCTTTTTACTTTAAAATCTCCCTATGAAATTCTATTGACTTTAATTATTAGTTATACTTATCTTATCTATTCCCTATTTTTATTCTGTCTCCATTTTCCATTTTCATTTTTCAGCACATTACTTCAAAACAACTAACCAAATCAATAGTTTTCTCTTTCTTTCTTTCCTTTTAATACCACTTTCCTTTCTTTTTCCGTTGGTATGTTACCAACTTCTTAATTTGAACATTAAGTACATCTAAAAGTTATTTTCCGACGCTAATGCTAGACTCTACGTGTAACAATAATAATTAATTTATTTCATTTTGTTTATTATTACATACAAATTCAAATAATTCATTTTAAAACCTATATTATTAATTAAGAAACATTTATTTCGCCAACGCCATCTATTAGCCGATGTCAAAATATTTAAATTTGACAACCTCTTAACTGTTTTTCTTAAATATTAGAATTGTTAATTCGTCTATTTATATCTAGAGGGCGTTAATTAGTATCTTTAATCTAAAATAAAAAAAATTTATACCTTCAGAATTATAAACACTTCATGTTTTCTAAGAACCCATTTTAGTTCTTGTAGGGTTTAAAAAAGTTTTAAATTTGTTTTGTCTTAATGTCTGTCCGTTCGTGAAATATTTTAATAATTTTAATTAATAGTTTTAGACATACTTGTGTTTTGACATCAACTTTTTGTTGCAACTACTGTTTTTATGCATTTCTTAAAAAAATACTCGCATACTTGTTTTTTCACACCGACCCTGTGATAATCTCTAAGCTTAGTCTTAAATAGATGAGTAATACGGGTGAGTTCTTGATATTTGACAACTTTCATAATTTTTAAACCCACTTTATTAGTTATGAGCTCATTCGTTTTTACCTCTCTATTTTAGACCATACCTGATGATGAGGATCTGATCTCCTCGAAACCGGTTGTATTAAATTACTCTTGTGAGATCTTAAGGACCATCCTTGTTTTATTTACCTCTTTTTTGAACATATAACTCACACATGGCTACTACCTTCAACTTTAATTATAAAAATATTATTAAAGTTATGATCGAAATACTTAAGGTAGGCGCATACTATTCGCATCGCATTGCACGGAACGGATGGATTTGTTGGTCCATTGACGATATGGCCTCGCAGTTCCGTGGATGCGCACGGATTAGTATGCGATACCCAATATATTAAGATAACAAGGCACCAAAAGTGCGATCCGTTCGTTCCGTGTGATGCGAGTAGTATGTGCCTACCTTTATAAGTAGATACATTATAAAAACTAAAATAGAGTTTACCTTTAAAAGATGCATGTTTTTCAACAAAACATTTTCTTCATATTCCATACAGGTCCCACATTTATCTGGTGCATCTTCAGTAAAACCAATATTTATTGAATTAACCAATTGTCTGTAGGTTTCATAAACTATTTTATGATTGGGATCTTTAAGTTGAAATCTTCATGCATATATTTTATGCTAAGATTATACGGTAGATATTTTCTATTCGGAGCGTGGTATCTCCTATAGTGTGAAAGTCTAGGCTCAAAGAAAAGTATGTGAGATTTAAGTAAGTCTAGGGTTTTCTTATGATGATTTTGATGCTTGCCCTTTTTAAAGGCATTTGGTGTTACTACTTTATTACCCACACTATCCTGGTATGCAGCAAAGACCGTTTTGAAAATTGTATCTGTTTTAAAGCCTAAAGTAGCCAGGAACATTTTCTGACAAACTCGAACACAATGATCCTCGTTATTTTCAAAATGTTTCGGAAAAAAGAAAAGCCTGATATATTTACGTCATCCTTCTTGAATGCGTCGGTATGCTGGTTTTTCAATGACTTTTGTTAAAACAAACTCGTTGTTTATTGTCTATTGTCTATTGTCACTCTAAAAAATATATTTTATACTTTATCAGATCATACATTTTTCTTCCATTGAAAAGTTAAGTATTTTTTTGCTTTAAAATTTGTATAGTTTATATACATCGTTTTACCAAAGTATTATGAGCACAAAAAGTGCAGTTACGTCCTTTGTACTCTGAAAAAAGAACGCTTATTCGCGATTCAAGGTAAGTGATACGCCCTCTGGAGGAAATT